GGGTTTCCTTTCCTGCTTATCCAGACACCAGTCCCATTTCATGAAGAGAAGTCAGTAGCTTCAAGACAGGGAGACTTTCTCAGTAAGGGGAGGTACTTTCCCAGTTTAAGCTTTGCTCTTTCAGTTTTGTTTCCCCAAGATAAATTCTGTAATTGGACGCCACCCAGAAAAAACCTACTCTTTTTAAGGGTGGGTCAATAGGCTGGGCAGTACAGAGTCTGTAGCTTATCTGCTGCAGTGTGGAAGAGGCACAGCCCGAGCCATCGCTCCCTGACAGTGACTCTACACCCACAGCAAAAATGAGGTAAGTGCACGGCCTCCGTTCTTGTAGAAGCTCCCAGAAAGAGTAGCTTTGGGTTGACAAGGCTTGGCGCAATGTGCTCGTTCAGAGCCACAGAATGGTTAAGGTAGGAAGAGACCTCTGGAGGTCACCTAGAGCAGGTTGTCCGTGACCACATCCAGACAGTTTTTTTAATAGCTCCAAGGGCGGAGACCCCACAACGTCCCTGCGTGATCTCTGCCAGTACTCCATCATCCTCACAGTTAAAAAGAAGTTTCCTGATGTTCAGAGGGAGCCTCATGAGTTTGTTTGTGCCCACTGCTTCTTGTGCTGGCACTGGACACCACTGAAAAAAGCCTGGCTCTGTCTTCTTCGCACCCACCCTTCAGGTATTTACATATATTTCTAAGATCCCTCTGAGCCTTCTCTTCTCCAGGCTGAAAGTCCCAGCTCCCTCAGCCTTTCCTCATGTAAGGGATGCTCCAGTCTGACCTCTCATGGCTCTTCGTTGGACTCTTTGTTGAGCCATCTCTTGATGCATCCTTCAGACGAAGGCACATCCCCCCTTTCCTCCTGATGGGGAGCAAAGAAGTTTTCATCTTGTGGTTTTGGCTGCCTCTACTCTTTCTATTTCTTGCAGTCCATCCCAGAGCCTTTGTCTTCAATAAGAAGAGCAAGCAGCCCCGTCTCCAGGCACTAGTAACTCCCCTTTGGAGACCAGCAAGCCAGGAATTAAGCCTCCCAGATGGTTCCCTGAAAATGGGAACAAAGATTTACAGGTTCTTTAGTAGCTTGAGTGCATGGGACTTGTTGAGCAAGTGGGGAGAACCCCATCCTCCATCCCTCCCATCTTTTCATAACTCACATTTTCCTCCTTGTAGCAATGCACAACTGAAGGAGAAGTTGGATGCCCTTCAATGCCATTTCACCTGGCACTTGGACATAACAGGCCATACTGAACCTACACACGTCCTGCAGAAGCTGGCTGTTGAAATCAAGCACACAGCCCACCAAAACCAGGCAGCACTCTTGGGGCTGCAGGCATACCTATACCAGCTGAAAGGCCAGAGCAGAGCAGCTCTGCAAAGCCTTAAAGATGCTGAAGAGCATGAGACACAAGACGAGCAGCAGGCATCTGCTGCTAGTTCTCTGATTATCTATGGGAATTATGCTTGGATTCACTACCTTCAGGCCTCTTATCAGGAGGCTGAAAGCTATCTGGAGCTAATTCAGCAGCTCTGCCCAACTCCTTGGGACACACAGCTGATCCCATACATCCAGGCCCAGAAAGGCTGGTCCCTCTTGGCTATCAGAGTCCGTAATGGGGAACGGGCAAGAGAGTGCTTTGAGGTGGCGCTGATGCGTGAACCAGGGAACAGATTTTTCCGTGCTGGGCTCGGAATAGCTCTTTATTTCTCCTGGATTTACTTCTGGTATCCTGATATTCAAAGAAAAGCCATAACCCAATTGGAAAGAACAGTCCTTGAGCAGCCAAATAACTACAGAGCCAAAGTATACTTAGCCAGGCTCCTCGAACAAGTGGATCGAGAAAGATCAATTGGCTTGATAGAAGAGAGTACAGAGAAAAGCTCTGATCCTGAAGTCCTCAGAGTTTCAGCTCTGTTCTGGCTGCAACGGTCTACAGAGCGAGCAATTGAGATATTGCAGCAAGCCCTGCAGCAGAATCCAGGTTACCACCTTCTCTACCAAGTCTTGGCCAGGTGCTACAAGATACAATGGATTAATGCAAAGAACAAAGACAAGAATAATATATTGGATGCAGCCATCAAGGACCTCCAGCAAATTCTTCAGAAACATCCAGACCTTGACCTCGTGTTTGTAGAGCTGCAATTAGCAGAGTTCTATGGTGAAAGAGACCCAGCCCAGGAGGAGAAGATCTACAAGGAGCTGCAGGACAGAAAGGATAACCTAAGCCCCAAAAGTCATCAAGCCCTTAATCTCTACTGGGGAAATTTCTTCCTCTACAAGAAGAAGTCTCTTGAGGAGGCGAAAGCAAAGTTTATGGATGGCTACAAAATTCCCATGCTGACAGAAGTGAGGAAGCAGTGTGCGCAGAAGCTGACAAAGATGGCATGGTGCCACAGCGATGCTGCTGCTGATATCTACCACTTCATCAGAGAGACCGACCGCTGCCTGCCCACAGAATTTAGTGGAACTTATCTAGACTGACAGTGGGAGGCCCGGTCTGGAGAAAGCAGGGTGTCCTTTTTGTCCTTAATGCCTTCTACCTTTGCTAGGGTCTGTCTTCCAGCAGCAGGCTCATCGCCTCATATAGATATTAGGGTTCTATCGGCTTCTCAGACCATCCCATTGCTCGTCCATTAAATGCAGGCCTACCCATAGATAAATGGATGCCCAAAATTCACACACCCAGCCCTGAGTCCCACTTCTCTAAGAGGAGGGAATGAAAATAAATGTTAAGAATTTGGCTTACAGGGCCCGAGCACAACCCTTTGCAGGAGCAGACCTGCGTCGCTTCCTCGGAGTTGCTGTAGATCAGAACTAAGTGCTGATGACTAGGGCAGCATCGCCTCCCAAACTGGGTCCTTGCTTGCTCCACAACAGAGGAAATCACTAGGAACAACGTACCCATCGCTGCTTCCAGGGCCAAAGCAAGGCTTTTAATATTCTTTGATCAATAAATATTTCAAATTCTTTTCCATGTGATTTCTGCTGTGCAACAGCTGGTGTCCCCTCGCAGCCTAAAGCGACCAGAGCGCGGACAGCCAAAAATACACTCTTGCTTGACAGTTTTCACTACGCGTTCCCCCAGGCTCACATTAGGTACAGCCCTGTCTCTGCAGCATCCTAGCGACTTGCGCATCCTACCGTGGAATTTGCGTCCTTCCCTGCAGGCACGGGTGGGCACACACAGCCCCCATCCCAGCACTGAAGCCACGTTTCCAAGCGCTGGCAGGATCACCTCTGTGCCCAGCAGTAAGCGAGCAGGGGTGGCTTGGCAGGGTGTCCCCAAGCCCAATTTGTCCCTGCAGAGTAAAGCCATGGGGACCAGGGCAGATGTCCCCCAGCAGGTACCGCTGCAAATCCCTCAGTCTCCGCTCCAACAAGGAACAAGCAAGGACTGGATTTCAGGGGGTGGAGGAGGAGAAGCCAGGGTGGGGGGCACGGCAAAAGGACAAACATGACTTAGTGCCCCCTCACGCACATCTGGTGTGCAAGAAGACATCAGAGGCCAGAAACACCCACCCATCCTGGTGCCCCAGACCCACTAAGGAAGGGGAGCAGCGGCCCCTAGCTGCCCCATCTCCTGCGGTGGGTCAGAGA